CAGTTGATTGGCTTGATCTGTTTGGGAGACACCCAAGCAGTGGGACCGGGTCCTGTGCTCATTGCATGAGATGGCTGTTTGAAACCTGGGGCCTATGCAGGGTCGCTTGGCTCGGCCTGGGAGGAGGGGACTGGACCTGCCTGGACTGAGTCTACCAGGTTGATCTCAGTCCTGGGGGAGGCTTTGCCCTGGAGGAGGTGAGAATGGAGGGTGGGCTGGGGGGAAGGTGATGGGGGCCGGAGGGGGGAGAACAAGTGAATCCGTGGCTGATATGTAGAACTGAATTGTACTGCAAAATAAAAATTAAAAAAAAAGAAAAGTTTATGTATTCTCCATTGTGCCTCTTAGCATAGTTTTCAAAATGCAATCTATAGATGCATTGGGTGACTTCTAGACTCTACTCTATGTTGAAATATGCCTTCAGTTTCATGCTAGTGTAGTGCAATGGCAGCACACTGTGCAGTTTGAAAATGTAAGGCTTCATGCCTGTGCTTTTGCTTGATTTAATTGGCTATTCAGAATGTGACTATGTTAGCCAGTCTTCCAAGATTTCATGTCACCACTTTGGTTTTGATATTTAGTGTTCTGATAAGGTTTTTCAAACACTTTCTGATTCTGAGGATGACAATGGCAATTGCCACTTTTTTTTTTTACATGTTTGTAATAATAACTTTGTCATCAAAATGACTCCAGGAAGGGATTACTAAATACCAAATACTGAACTAAATTACTGATTTCAAGATTCTCTATTTTTTTTCTTAACAAACATAATAGACTTGTTGATTCAATACTCTAAAGAACCCTCATGAATTTAGAGTTGACACTGAAGATTTGGTTTTCTTTTATTTTTAAATCATGACATCTTTTATTAAAGACCCTGGTAGACAACTTTGCTTGCACATATCTCTACAATCAGGAGATGAAATAGTTGGGCCCCAAGTGTTCCAAATGCAATACGTCCATGAATGGGCTTGACCTCATCTAGAGCTACAACGTAAAAACTGTATGTTAGGGGAAATACTAATTCCAGTGTCATTCTCAAGTCTTAGAAACCGTCACACTTGAACGTATAAAACTGATATCACCATCCAAGCACTTGCTTCACTGCTTTTAAAAGTAGTGAAATATATGCCACAACATGTCTCACTCTAAAGTTGAACATTTTATGCTATGACTGCAGTGACATCATTCTACCTCCCACAGAAGACTTGTGCTCAGACGAGAACAAAATTAACAGGAAGCATCACTTTTACACAGAGATTAAGAAATGTTAACATCTCCTGAACTACATGACAGTCTCCTGATGGGAACATATATGTCACTAGAAAGGTCCTCCGATGTGCAAACACATCTCATGAGCAGCCGCTAAACTGCGGTTACTGGTGGAAGATGGAAGCTTTGGCAGGACTGAGAGTTTTTCCTACCTGCGGGGCCAAATTGTGACAGGAATTATGTAGAAGAGATACTCTTCTATTTGGGACAATAAGGTACAGACTTGTGACAACAAGGCACAGACAAACCTTTTAATTACTTTTGTTCAACCCACAATTTAGAGATAATGCAGAATACTTAATGAACTAAAATTAAAATGTGTATTAATACTCTAAATAATGTTGTGATCATCCCAATATGAAATAAAAATACCTGACCTTGATCCACCCTGAGGCCTGAACTTGAAAAGGAAAGTTAATGAAACTGTGCAATGGTATCTGGTAGATTGATTTTGTTCCAAAGTTCCCCTACATGCCTCTTAACTACTAAAATATACATCTATTTACCAATTACTGACAACAGTAGAAAAGGAATTAAATTTTCTCACAAGGACAGTCAAAGATATATGGTTAGCTCTATTTCTATAAAGGATTTTTAGCAAGTTTCATATATACAGATAACAGAAATAGTATTTCCTTTGTCATGAGTAATCTGAGGGTTTTCCTTTTGAAAGTGTTCACAGAGCTATATAGATAAAATTCTAGGAATAAAATATAGCTATAAAAATAAAGGAATTCTGCAATATACATCTGCGAAGATATAAGATAAAAATGTCTACAAAATGTTATTCTGAAAGGATAAAACAACCTTGATCAAAGCATTGGAGATGGATATAAGTACATTAAGCATTATTAGCTATCTTAATTACTTTTCAGTTGTTATGATAAAATACCCTGACAACAAACACAACTCAAGAGAGAAAGGATTTAGGTTAGCAGACAGTTCTTAAATGAGACAGTCCATCATGGTCATGAAAGACACAGCAAAAGAAGCAGGAAGTTTGCTGGCCCTCCTGCAACCACACTCAGAAAACAGAATGAAGAGGAAGTGGGGCCTGGCTATGAAGCCCCAGGGCCACTTCCCCCAACAAGGTTCCAGCTCCTAAAAGTTCCATAACCTTCCCAAATAGCACCCGTCGATTAGGACCAAGTATTCAAACATGAGTCCATGGGGACATTTCTCCTTCAGATCACAGCTGCAGCTTATCAGCAGAAGCTATTGACCAAAGAATTGAGCATGAAATGAAATTGCTACCCTCATCCCATCTTCTCCCCCTTCATTCTGATACCACACAGTCACATACACACACAACTATCTTTTTCTAGCCCTATGCAATTTTGTTTGATATTTTTAGCTACTACAAACACTAAGATAGAATTTGGGTCTGACAGAAAAATGTGAAGTTACATTTATCCTTGGGGAAATATCTTAAAGTGATCTGTGTCTATAAAAATAAATCAGTGAAAACACTTTTATTACAGAGACTGGACAGTGCCTTACTCTGTGCCCCACCCCCACATAATCCAGTCCTGTGTCGTCATGATGCTCCTTAAATTAAGGGGAGTTTAGGGTTTTTGAAAGACACAAATGTCTAAATTAACAAATACAAATACAGAGTAAAAAAGTTAACTTCACAAAAATGCAAATTCCATTAAAAAATTCCTAGTTTGGTTCTGTTTTTCACTTCTCCAAAAATAAGACAGAATTCATTTGAAGGGAAAAGTTAAAAGTACTGTTAAAAATAAAAGGTTAATATTTAAACAAATTGTAAAAGTGAACAAATATGTTAGTTACCACCTTTAACTAAATCATTTGATAGGGCTTTAAATGTATATCAGTGCTAAATGTTTTCTTAGCATGTATGACACTCTGGGTTTAAGTTCTAGTCAACAAATGAATAAATAAATAGAAACAGAAAGAAATGCATCCACAAAAACACAAATAGGTGGTCTAAAGCAGAAATGAGCACTGTGTTTAGCACCTTTACAACAATAATTTGACTGTGTACTTTAGTTTTAAACATTCTTGGATAAAAGGTAATTATGGAGTTTGAATATTTATATTTTAGGCAGCAATAACATAAGCTATTTCCAGTTGCTATGATAAAATAACTAAAGGGAAAAGGGGTGTATTTTGGCTCAGAGTTAAAGTGTACAGTCCATCATGAGTAGAAGATTTAAGGACAGAGCTTGCAGTCCATTTTGGGTAATGAATTTAAGGTGAAGGGAGCTTGAAGCAGCTGATCACATGATAGCACGACATCTACAGTCAAGCATCCAAGAGTGATGAATGTGTGTTAATGCTGTTGCCACTTTCTCCAGTCTATGCAGTCCAGTATCCAGAACCTAGAACATGGTCTCTCTCACAATTAATATTTGACTTTGCATAATAATTAGCATAGTAAAGATAACTTCCCATAGGCATGACTAAAGACTCATCTACCATATGACTCTAGGTACTTTCAAGTTGACAATTAATATTAGCCATCACAGATACTATGAAAGTATTGTATTGGAATTTAGGGGAAAAAGAAGTGATTATAGAGGAATCATAAAAAAAAAAAACCATGATTGTTGACATTAGAGTAACAGGAAATAAATAATAAGTTTACATACAATTAAAACTCCATATTTTTCCATTGGAATTTTATCTTCTTTAAGTAAATTACATTTTGTGCTTCAAATGCATTTCTTAGCTTTGTCTTCTGAAGAGATATAGAAAACAATGGCCACTTCTATGAGCACCTCTATTACCCATCATATGGCTTCTAAATGCCACAGTGTGTTTTATCGTGGGTAAATGCTCCTGAGAGAAATGATTTTTTTGGGGGGGGATTCTGAGTAAGAAATTTAAAATGTAAATGTCTTCATCATTTTTCTCAGTGGTGGGATAGCATATCCTTACAAAAGCTATTTACAGGAGAATGTGTTAGTTTTGGCTCACAGGTTTAGGGTATAGTCCCTCGTAGTGGTGAAGACAAGTCAACAAGAGGCTGAAACAGCTAGTTGTATTCTCTCTGAGTACAGGAAGAAGAGCGTAATGAGTATTCTGTCTTTCTTTTGTAAAGTTCAGGGCCAAAGCCTAGGGAATAGTGCTGCTCTCCTTTAAGGTAGGTCTTCCCATCTCAATTAACCTGTTAAACGTAAAAGATAATTCCTCTCAATTATTCATTGTCTCCTCAGTGATTCCAGATGCTTTCAAGTTGATAATCAATATAAAGTCATCACAAACAAGTTCAGGACATCGTAAGACTTCAATGTCTCAGAAGTGCCAATGTCTCAAGGGTGATATTACAGAAGAACATTGAGGAAGAGGGGGGAAGAAAGATTGTAAGTGCCATAGGACTGAGGCATCTGCTGTGAGATAGTCTCTTCACAATAATGATGAAGATGATGATGATGATGATGATGATGATGATGATGATAAAGAAGACACAAATGTAAGAGCTGTAGGTAGGAAGAGGTAGATCTGATCACAAGTCAAATGGAAGAGGTTCTACATAGACAAAGATAAGACAAGGCTACCATAAATAATGGTGATTACAATAGATTGAAATCTATAAAACATATTTTAATATATTAATTAATAATAGTTATTTTACAATAAAGAAATAATACTCGCATCCCGGAGACTCTTCAAAAGTCCAAGTTTCTTTTTCTTTTATTTCTTTTTCTTTTTTTTTTTTTTTTTTTTTGTTTTTTGAGACAGGGTTTCTTTGTGTAGCTTTACGCCTTTCCTGGAACTCACTCTGTAGTCCAGACTGGCCTCGAACTCATGGAGATCCACCTGCCTCTGCCTCCTGAGTGCTGGGATTAAAGGCGTGCGCCACCACTGCGCGGCTCAAGTTTCTTCTGAAACAAAGCTAATCACTTCATCACGATCACCTGTAAAATCAAAAAACAAATCACACACTTCCAACATTCGATGACAGAAAATGTACTTAAGCATTTCAAAAGAGGATACAGTGGGGAATGATTCCACCAAAGGAAGACCAAAGCCTAGCAGGCAAAAACATGTACTGGAGATCCATGTTTGTTATCATCTAGGGCTTCACTTTCAAAGGACTTACTTGGTTCCACCCCTCCAGTTTTGCTGCCTGGAACATATATTTTTCTCATGGATGTGTTATACTGTGTGTACTTGATTTCAAAGATGCCTTGTGACTGACATTTCCAACATATTGCTGTATCCACTGAAACCCAGACTTCCACCTTTACCCTTCAGGCAGTGGCATCTCAGGGCCTCCTCATAGGCACTCCAATCCTGCCACATATTGTGTGACCTCAGTGGTTCCCTGAAATCATGGAGGAAGAATTCATGCTTCCCCAAGTCCTGCAACTTTCTGGTCAATAAACAAGCTTCCAAGTGGATGGCATTATCATGTTTGGCTGATAGCTTGAGGGAAATATTGGGCCCCTTGAATCCCAGCAGCAGCAACTTCTGAGTGACGTTTTTGATTTTCGTTTTTATTTGTTTTGTTTGTTTTGATACAGGGTCTCTCTGTGTAGTTGTAGTTCCTGCTTTACTGGAACTCACTATGTAGACCAGGCTGGCCTTGAACTCAAAGAAATCAATCTGCCTTTGCCTCCTGGGTGTTAGAATTAAAGGAATGTACCACCATGTCCAGCTTGCAGCAGCTTCTGTACATTGAAACTGGTGCAGAATTTTCCTAGGCACTTGCTTTCTCAGAGCAAACAGTACTTACGTCTCTCTTTCACAAGTTGTAGCTGCCGCTGGGCACTTTCCCTGTGCCAAGACAGAGCAGGAGGCTTCTTCTTAAAAGCATCAATCTCTTTGACAGTTACAGACTCTTTAGCACATGACTTCAACTTAGCTGCAACCTTAAGGACTTCATGGTGCTTTTTCTCACTCCAAACATTGCAGATTTTATTTCTGTCCCACTTGTTGCTCTTTTACATGATAGACCTACAAGAAGTAACCATCAGCCATACCATACACTCAATGTTAGGATGCCTTGAAATTTCCTTAGCCAAAGAAATTAGTCCCTTACTTTTTAGTTCAGGATCACATAAATTTTTTTTTTTTTTTTGGTTTTTCGAGACAGGGTTTCTCTGTGTAGCTTTGCGCCTTTCCTGGAACTCACTTGGTAGCCCAGGCTGGCCTCGAACTCACAGAGATCCGCCGGCCTCTGCCTCCCGAGTGCTGGGATTAAAGGCGTGCGCCACCACCGCCCGGCGTACATAAATTTTTAACATGGGCAACTTTTTATAAAATTACTTACCAAAATATCAAATGAGCCGGGCGGTGGTGGCGCACGCCTTTAATCCCAGCACTCGGGAGGCAGAGCCAGGCGGATCTTTGTGAGTTCGAGGCCAGCCTGGTCTACAGAGTGAGATCCAGGAAAGGCGCAAAGCTACACAGAGAAACCCTGTCTCGAAAAACCAAAAAAAAAAAAAAATATCAAATGAATAACATCCCACCCAGATTTTAAGAGTCCTTCCCCTCCCCGCTCTGAAGCATCCTTACCTGGGCCTCCACTGTCTGCATTACTCTAAGCACTACTATCCTTCAATTTCTACTAGACTGGCCCATTAAGCTCTGCTAACAGGATTCAAAGGCTTTCCCAGGCCAAAGTTCCAATGTCTTACACATTCTTCCCAAACGCAAACAGTTTCTCCATAACAACAGCCTGACTTTCCTTACATGATTTTTCATTAGTTCCTGTTCTGTTGCTATGCAAAAGTACCCTGACAAAGAGTATATTAGGGAAGAAATTGGTTTATTTTGGCTTATGAATCCAGAGAGTTCATGAGCTCAAGGAAGCACAGCAGCAGAAGTAGGAAGCAGGCTGATCACATTGCGCCCTCACAGAGTTAGCAGCAGAAAGAGATCAGGAAGTAGGATGAAGCTACAAACCTTTAAAGTCCACCTAGGGGTGCATTTCTTACAGCAAAGCTCTACTTCCTAAATGTCCTATCACCTCTCCAAACAGCAGGACCAACTGAGGACCAAGTGTTCCAAACATGAGAGTACGGGAGGATTTCTTATTGAAACTATGATAGTGACTGCCTTAGATGTAAAGGCTATATCTTTTGATATGTTTGTTATTCAAGACCCTCAAATACCCTTACTTACATTGTTCCAACATCTGCTTATATGTCAGCTTATTTTAGAATGGCAAATTCCATGCTGCCTCTTCCTGTGAACGACTGTCAAATGGGAGAAGGGTTATAAATCAGTAGTCAAAATTCTATGAATAAAGAATAAGAGCTTTGGCAGAAAGAAACAAATGCCTTGAAAGAGTAAGGAAACAATTTATGTGGAAATTCATAAGATGCCTGTTGGGGTATTACTTAGACTGGTCCCTTGATGTAGGGATATTATTGAATATAAAATCTAAAGATCAACAAAGTTATACTAGATTCTGATTTGCTGTATGTAGATTTAATCCTGTTGGATTAAATGTTGTAGAGTTGATGGCTGTAATTCTTCATGCATGTTATCACATTCCTTTTTTATTATATACTATAAATATTTTTATTATTTTACATGTCTCTTTTATTTTTATATATAGTTTTCCAACTGAAGTTTGAAATTTTAACACTCTTATTTGAACCTTGTTACTTTATTTCCTGAATTTCCTCACATAAATATTAATAAAATTTTATGGTTGTTCTACAAAAACCTCTTCCAAATTGAAACACCCCCACCTAGAAGGAGAGAAGCTTATGAAGCTCTGGAAGTAAATAACTTACAGGTCTTAGGAAGTTCCTGGAGCTAGTGATGTTGATGGGATCATATCAGCAGTAAGGACTGCTGAGAAGAGGAGGCAGTTTTCATGAGTTGCCACACATGCTGGGATACAGTTTTCAGGGACTCGGTGATTTTGGAGTCATCCATGTTTCTGTAGCCTCTTTACCCATACTCCTATGAAGAGTCACAATAACATCAGTTGTTCTTCAAGTTGGACGTTGGAGAAATAATTACGTTGTCACATCGTTTCCACCCGAGTGAGTGACGTTTGTTCATTTCTCCTTGGGAAAAGCCATACACCAACGGTTCCCCCTTTCAATATAACTCTTTAATGTGCCTCATTTCCTGTTTCCAATGTAGTTAATCATTTATTTCAGTCCCATCTATTACATAAAATCTGTCACTTATTGAAGCTTTCTCTAAGATAGTCAGCAATGAAGGTACTGTTAAATCATTAACTGCTGTGGTATGTCTTTCTGTATGCTGTGAATATGTGTTGCTCTGATTGGCTGATAAAGAAAGCTGCATTGGCCTATGGCAAGGCAACTTAGAGGCAGGTGGGAAATCCAAGCAGATATACAGAGAGAAGAAAGGAGAGGAAGGGGAGATGCCAGCCACAGCCAATGGAGCAGCAAGTTGCCAGCAGACTGGTAATGCCACAGCCACATGGTAATTTACAGATTAATAGAAATGGGTTAAGTTATAGGAGCTAGCTAGCAAGAAGCCTACCATAGGCCATACAATTGGTAATTAATATAAGCCTCTGAATGATTATTTTATAAACAGCAGTGGGACTGTGGGCCGGGAGGTACTGCAGGGCCTGGTGGGACCATAGAAAACTTACAGCTACACCCAACTTATGCACAAAGAATGGTGTAATGGTCTCTTCAAGGTAATCCAACTACTGCACATGAGAGCTAAGAATCCAGAGATGTGACCATTTTCTTCTAAATTAAATGTGCTTCTCTTGAGCTGTTTCTGGCCTTAAGAACTTTACACGTGTATAAATGTGCAATAACTTTAAGATGACTGATGGGCTGGTAGCTAAACTCTGTTGTTGTTTCTACACTACTGTGCATCTATTAGTTGATTTATTCATCCAGCCAAACACTTTATAAATGCCAGAGATGTTTTCTACCTTGGATCCAAAACTGTTTCTTTTCTATTTATCATCACTTCATTTTTATGTTTTCATGCCACTTCTTATGTTCAAAGTGATCGTGTAATTTGATGCTATAATATTAAACAGCATTTAAAATAATTAAGTTCTGACAATTTTTATAGTAAACAAAACATAAGAAATACATGTTTCAGGTAATATAAGAAAAAGAGTAAGTTTCTATCTGCTCCCTGCTCTTAGGATGTATTATACGGTTCTGTTATCAAATACTATGCAAAGTTCAATACTCTACTGGTGATGCACACCTACTATAAGAAGTCAGTATTCTTTGTTTCCAGAAAGGGTTATGCATAAATATCAACTATATTTCAGAAGAAAGCAATATAGGCCCTGTAAATAATCTCTTTTCTCTTGTTTTGAAATGCTTTTTTGTTTGACAGTGTAACATATTAATATAATGAATTTCCTCTCTCATCCTTTTCCCATTTAAGCCTTTCTTCTCAAACGCATTACTACTTACTATTTTCATGTCTACTTGTAATATTCTTTAAACAGATAATCATTTCAATATTTCTTCAAAAGATGTTTAATTTGCAAAGGCTTCAACTTCCTTTCTTTTTCCCTTAACAATATTCATTGGCTTTGTTTTCAGTTCCAGAACTGAGCAACACTTCGTGTCATAAAATAAACTAAATGTCCTCCATCTTCCTTTCTCCAGCCGAGGTGAATTACATAGAATGGCTAGCTGCACTAGGATAGAGTCCTTCGAAAATCTTATCTCCCCTTAATGTACTGATATTAGATGAAACTATCAGTGAGTTATTGAGACACAGTCCCTGCTCTGTACATTACAAACTAAAACTGAATTGGGCACTTAAGAAAACTGCATTAACT